AAGGAAGGAAGGAAGGAAGGAAGGAAGGAAGGAAGGAAGGAAGGAAGGAAGGAAGGAAGGAAGGAAGGAGGCACCAGGACCTCTGGGACTGGGTGTCTCTGTGGCACCCTCCGGAAGCACCTCAGTCAACCTGTGGGTACCTTCACACCTCCAGTCCCATCCCCACTCCCACTGCTTTGGTCTAGCTCCCCCGCTCCCAGAAAAGCAAGGTACTGGTTCAGGTTTCTGGGAACTTGGAAGATTCCAGGACTTGGTCCCCCCCTCAGGCCCATGTGGGTCATCAGTCTGTGACAGCAGAGGGATGACCTTAGAATTCATGCGTTCTCATTTTGCAGGACAGGAAACTGAGCTCAAGGGAAACCAGGCACTTGGTTCAAGGACAGCTTGGCCATCTGCTTGCTGGGGTGAGTGTCAGGGCAGCAGACTCATGAACCCCAAAGACATTCAGCTAGACAGGGCAGAGCTCAAACGGGAGCAGGCTCTGGCCCCTGCCTGGCTCTGGCATCCAGCTTGGCTCCCAAGAGGCACTTCCCTCCCGTGATGGGCTGTGTCTCTGCAACGCCAGGCCGAACAGGGCAAAACAGGAAGGAACCATGTGCCATCTGTTCCAGAGTGCTGTGGACCTGGTTTCTTCTTGGGTGGTGGAACTCAGGGTCACACCCAGCCAGTTGGAGTGGGATGTCTCATCAACAGTACTCAGCTGTGCGGTGTCCTGGTCCTGCATCTCCCAGCCCTCGCGGTGGGGACATGTGCTCTGGTTTTGGAGCCTACAAACTTGACCAAGTCCCTGAATATCTAGTCTTTGCTTAATCTGCACCCTATGCAGGGTGGGGAAAGGGGTCGAGAGAATCTATGGAATGGCAGGAGGAAAATAGTTACTATTTCGGTCGGGATCAGCTCAGTTGGTAAAGTATTTGTCTGGCATTCATGAAGCCCCGGGTTCAGTCCTTAGCACTGTATAAGCTGTGCATGGTGGTGCACATCTGTAACCCTAACATCTGTAACCCAGGAAGATCCAGAGTTCAGTATCATCCTCAGCTACACAGTGAGACTGAGGCCAGCCTGGTCTAGATGAGACATTGTTAAAAAAAAAATCCTTCCACCCTCCCAAGAAGAGGCTAGTAGACTGGAGCCTGTTGGTCGCCTTTTCCTTGTTGGGAGAGTTGAGGCTGTTCCGCACCAGCTCCCAAGCCCTGCTCCTCCTCTGTGTTTTCATTCGTCAGCTCATCCTCTTTCCACAAACCAGCAGACCTGGCTCAGCAAAATCCGGACCTCCTCAGGTCTTCCTTGTCCTCGCTAGCTTCCCAGAGTCGAGTTCCACGGAACTCAGGCCTGCTGACTTCTCTTCTTAGCACCGACCCACCCTGCCTCTCACACGCAAACTTCCCAGCCCCGATCCGCTCATTTCCTGGGGCCAGCTGTGCTCTCCTTTGCTCCCTGGCCAGCACTGTTTCCGTCCCTAGCCTGCTCTCTTCTCATAGTGGTAGCTGCCAGGCTCCCACTGGGAAAAAAAAATGCATTGCTAGGACAACCAGGTCCTGCCCTCAGGAGCTCAGTGTGGACAGGGGCACTTCCCATAATTCTAAGCAGACATCAGTGTCTGGGTCCTTCAGGAGACTTAAGCAGGAAGGGATTCTGCAGACAGGGAAGCCTCGGCAAGGAAAGAGCCAAGCGAATAAGGAGATCATGGGCATCTCAGGTAGTGTAAACAGAGGGGGCAGAGGCCGGGTGAGGCCCTTGAAGGTGGCGAGCAGAGCAGGAGATGCCAGTGTACTCGCAACTATGGATAGAAAAGACAGGGACTAGTGATGACCATGAGACAAATAATTGGAGCTTACGTGTGCCCATTCGAGCCTCATAAAGACCCTGTGAGATAGAACTGGTCATTATCTCCTCCGGATGAGAAAGCAAGACACAGAGAGGTTAGTTGGCCCAAGGTAGTACAGACAGAGGACCGACTACTGGCTATGAACTCAGAATCCATATCACTACAGCGCACAGCTGTGCTAAGGAGGGTCTGGGATGGCGGAGAATGCAGCCCTGGGCTCACCCTTTATCAGTTACGGATCTCCAGAGGAGCTGCCTCCTCCAGGGAGTCTTCAGAACCAACTAGAAGGAATCTCCCTACACCCATGGGAAGTCCAACATGAGCATTGTCCTCTGAAGCAGATCCCCCCTGACCAACCTGGGATGCCCATCAGCTTCTTCTGTACCTTCTGGGGAGGAATGTCTGCCTGTCCAGTGGCTCTTCCTATTCAGTAGTAATCTTACTCCACCTGACCCAGAGCTGACCAATCGGAGCATCCCTCCAAACTCCTCACAGTTATTGCTTTGGAGGTAATCAGTTAGACCATGCCTCAAGAGTGCCCGGAACGGAAGGCTTTCTTTCTTTTCTCCTACGTTATCAGCTGGGAGGACTGTGACAGGTTGGTGCTTCTGGGAAGAACTTAAGTGAGTATGTAGGAACCCAGTGGAAGGTAGGAGAAAGAACGGAAAAAGAGAATGTGATATGATTGCTGGGTTTCACTGGATTAGACCCAGACCT